GGTTTGGCGGAAGTCGAGGGGTGTCGGGGCCCCGAGAGGTTATTGTTTCAATCGTGTGTTTCCATCGAGCTTTTCGATTTCAGACAAACTGGCTGCAACGCGTGAAAGAGACTGGCGGCTGTGATTATATATATGCTTCCGAACACGCCCTGCATATTTCCTGACAGGTCCTTTAATATTTCTTGACTCCCCACTTCATAATCTTCCCTCGTTCCCAATCCTGTCCTTCATGTCTTTTCATCTACTGTCATGTCCAGTTTCCTTGGAAAAAGACTGTTCGGGGCCTCAGCATGTGTCCCTCCATTTCATGGCAGGCCTTCATAGTTCCTTAGGCGCCTTTTGTATGTCTTGGCAGGTCCGGCAACCCTAGAGGAATCAGCCTGCCGAACGCTTCATGTGATTGATGAACCGGGTTCGGGTAACGAAGCGGATTGGTTTTTTCCAGCCGACTTCTGTTTCTATTGTGTTTCGGTCGTTGTTCCCCGGCGTGGTCTCAACATACCCTCAGTCAGTCAGCCCTCAGAAATGCCAAGGAAAGCAGTTGAGATGCAAGAGATCTTGGTGTTGATGCATCAAACGCCTGGAATCGGCTTCTTCAACTCCTTGTGCTGCCACCCAGCGGGCCAGGGCGCAGATGGCCCAGGATGTTCCAATTGTTCATTTTGGTGGAAGGGTACAAACGTGTACAAACTCTTGTGGGTCAGTCCATGGTGTTGAGAGCTTGCATAAGAGAGGTCACCACTGCTTTGTTCAAATATATTGTATTGCACTTATTGCACTGCTGGATCTTCGGGCAAACCACCGTTTATGTAGTGGAACTGTGTTTGTGCCTATGGCGGATCAAGGTCAGCAGCGATGTTGAAGTCTTGCGGAAACTGCATGGTTGATTGCTTGATGTGTTTAGTCTCAAGCAGATACTTGATGATACTTGGTATCCATTGATTTTCAGCCCTCATGAGGCTTCATGCATGCCACCAGGGTAGCGCCTGGCTGCAGAGTGTTCAACTGCTACTTGGCCGAACGCATCAGTGAGACTGCTGATCCTTGCTTGTTGCATCAGGCAGTTCCTTCTGAACGTTTCAAGAATGGTGCCGAATTGGAAGACGTCTACGTTTGTTTGATTTATATAGTGTGTATCCTAAGCAAGTCGTAACACTGCAAGCACTGCAAGCACAACTACCATGAATAATTTCCGATTCAAAAAGCACGAATCAGAAACTACGAAGAAGAAAAATTGCTTCAGAAGTCGAGCAGGTAGGTGGGTGGGTGGGTGGGTGGGGTTGGATAATGACGTTCAGTTTCTGGTTGTGAGTAAGATGAGGAAGCACAATCATGCAAGCCCAATGAAGAACAAGCAAATTCAACGCGAACATACCAAACATTTTAACTGGTGTGAAAAAGAACATGTTGGTTTGGACGAATCTTTTCAAATGTTAGGTCATCTACTAAGTTATGGTATGTTATGAGTACAAGTTATAAGTATGGCAGTCATCTCTGTGCAACCTTGGGATCTACTTGGGGCATCTTGGGGCGTATATCCCTGTTATGACATTGTGTGCCTCCTTCAGACATCCGCTATGGTTCCCGAATCAGGCGGTAGTTTCCGAATAATAGTTTCCGAATCCGTCATTGACCCAACTACCATCAACTAGGGGGTACAGGATGCTACTAGGAACAAAGGGCGTCGCTACTAGGAGCATTCTTACTAGTAACAAGAAGCTACGATCGGGGCTCCTGGCCTTACTAGGAGCAAAGGACGCTATTGGGAGCTTTACGATTTCATCGACGAATCGACCATATACCGCTTCACTCAACTGCCCAGGCTCACGGAGGAACGCCGCTTTGGTGCTCGGCCAGACGAGCTGGGCCTCTCCGCAGTGCTATTGGGCTGCGTGTCACAGCGAGCCTTCCGCGCAGCACGGAGGCGGCCGTCTCGGCTGGGGAGCTGCGGTGAGAGGATCAGTGTGTTCACACAAGCCAATGTGGCATATGAATATCTTTATCTATGTTCTAAATGTATATATATATATATATACATTATGTGTATATAAATATATATATATACATTATGTGTATATATAAATATATATATATATACATACATACATGCACCGGTGAAGAGTAGAGGTGTTGCCTGCCACTGAAGCCACCTTGGCTTTCTCTTCCTTCCAAACCCCTTGGCCTTCGCGTCACTGTCGATTCTAAAGTGCCAAATGACTGGATCACACCATGCTGGGACCTTGGGATGGATTTGAACCATCCCACTCGATCCTCAGAAATCCACAGCATCGCAGCAAAGCAGAAATACCAACAGATGTGTGAATCGTTCTTGCCAGGTTGGGCTTGATGGCATGATCAATACCATACTGAGCAACCTTTCCTAGATGGCCTTGGGCCGGGGCAAAATCTGGGCCATACCACGTCAAGAGCAACAAACAGGTCAGAAGGTCCAAAGGGTGCAAGAAGGCCTTCTTGCTTTGTGGTCCAAGTAGGTGCAAAAGTGTGACTCTTGTCTCGTCAGGATATTGGAGGAGATCTCCTTTGGTATACGAGCAGAGCATACTGCGTCTCAGACTATTGGCCGTGTGTCCAAAAGAGCATGGGCTAAGTCCGAGTGACCGAATTTCTGGCGGCTTTTTCTGTCGGAACGGATAGGTCCGGCAGGTCCAAGTCAAGGTTTCATGAAAGAAACCATGAGGTTTCATTGCTTTGGTCATTGGTTCTTTCGCGCACACCTGGAAATCGGCTTCATCCTGGATGGCTCAAGAAAGCCCCACAAAAGGAGATGATCATGTGTCACAGAAAGTCTCCACCAAACCTCTGGAGACTTTCTGTGAAATCCCCCCTCCAATGCCCAAGCAAGAGTCGTCATGCAGTTCGTCATGCAGTCGTCATGGCTTTGAATGCTGGCCAGGATGTTAAGCAGTACAACATTCTCAAGCTCCCCAGAAAATCATCACTCGCAATATCCACAGCTCCAAGCTGAGTGTCAAAGGATGCTGATGCCATGTCTCTTCCATGAGCGCAGACTCAGACTTCTCAAGAGACTTGGTTTCACATCTGAGACTGATTTGTCCACCGGGTTGCTTTGGCAGTTGTTTGTTGTCAGTCACTTCAGTCAATTGCGACAAAACACCCCGACCAATCCATGGTATGTGTGGGAGCTCAGGGAGCTCTCAGAGCGAGGCCTGGCAACACATGGTGTACGTTGAGGCTTTGTCCGAGAGACCTTTCTCAAAGGGGTCATAGACTCTTCAGCTAAGGAGAGTATGTCACGCAGTTGTTCTGGACATGCAAAGGCTGGGTACATAGCTGTCCAATCTGATGACAAGAATCTGCAAAAAAATATAACCTCCAGACATCACTGTATCTTTTCTATGCAGCCATGGATGCCATGCTTAGAAAGTTCCAACTGTACCGGCAGGCATTGCAGAACTTTTTGACTCGTCCAGTGGTCGGTTTGCTCCCATTGGCGAGTGCAGGTCCCAGTTTGCGCTTAAAGGCTTAACGCATGAGATGGGTTCAGGAGAGTTGGACGAATCCTACCCCAGTCTTGCTCTTACAGGTCCCTTCGTTTTGCTTTTTCTTTCTCAGAATACAAGCGACGGCGTCCTGATCAGAAAGAGAAGGCCTTGTTTGCCCTTTTGTTTGGCCCTGCGCTCTAGTTGGGCGTGGTTCTCAATGTTTGATATTCCAAGACTGTTGCCAAGGTCGTCTCCATCGCAAGCGCTCAAGGCACGTGACGCAGCTCCAAAATGACCGGTTTACGGGTGCACGGTGTATGTGGAGTAGGAACCTAACGGGTGCACGACAAAGAAGTCTCAGACTCGAGCGTTTCAATACAGTATGTTGATTGCACAATGTCAACGTGGGATCAATCCCTCAAGCACAGCATGTTCCATGTTCGATCGTGGAAGGATTGACTGCAGAGATCGTGCATCCCTTCATTAACCTGCTAAGATAGAAACAATACTCAGGACATTTAAGCTGACTTGCATTTATTCTGGGGACCACCCTTTAAAAACATGTGTGGGTGCATGACGCCATCCTTCATGCATGAAATCACTATACTTGTCTACAAAAGACTGCATTCCCAAGTTGTAAAAGTTGTTGATGGGTCTTCCTGTGCAGAGATCAACTTGGAAGAGCATAGGCAATGACGCTGGTGTTTTGCTTCAATTGTTTCCCATTGCCAGTGCCATCCACAACAGATACAACAGCAAGCCATAAATATATGCCTTGCAGAAGAATAGTAAGACATGGTACCAACCAAACGAAGCTCCATTCGACATGGCTTCTAGCTCGCAGGCACCAATCCGTGAGCCGCAGGCTCCGATTCAGCCCCAGGCTGACCACATACTTGCGGGCATCTTCCCAAAGAAGAAGGCAGTAAAGGTTCGAAGGTTTTTCTTTGGAGGAAGAGATGTGAACTGACATGAGTCAAGTTTTCTTGTGAATTCCATTTCAATGGTATCTACTGATGTCCTCAGGAAACTCCACTCCGTAATACTCCGTAGCTTTTTGTTCACTGCGATCCAAGCGGTTTGGGGATAGCTGCGCACAGGTCAGACCAGGCACCCTGCGAAGTGGGCATCTCAGGCGCTGAGGTTTAGATTTGCTGGGGCTGAAGTCAGACGCATGAGCTTTGGGCATCGGAAGTGATTGGGGAAAGATGTGATGCAGTTTTTCTTGTTTCAGAGATCCAGTCATACTGCATACTCAGTATGATCATGTATGATCCAGTGATTGCCAAGTCCTTCATCTCTCAGGTTCATTAGGCTATTTACGTTTCAGCACCTTTGCCAGAGCACTGAGGTGAGCAGGTGAAAGACCTCCTTTGGGCCTGTAGAGGTTGGAGAAGCTCCAGAGAAGCTCCATTCCGATCCTCCTTTGGGGAGCGGGGTCAAAAGAACCAGAGACTGTGTAACAGGGCGAACATGGTGAACCAACAGGAAGCCACTTGGAGAAATCTCTAGCATGACGTAGATCCACAAAGTTTTGTAGCTTTCGGGTGCGTTGCCGTGCAGATCCATTCGGTGGTTCCCACGGTGTCGTGCCAGGCATTGCAGAAGCTTTTCATTCAACCGGTGGCAGGTTTTCTGCTTCTGGCAAGTTTGCTACCCAGGTGCACAAGAGCAAGTTGAGTTCACAGAGGTGTTCGCAGTGCGCAATGAGAGAAAAACAAGCAGGCAGCACAAATTGTGCTAAAGAGAATGAACTCCTTATCTTTCAACCGAGCTGAAGACATGAAACAGCCTGTATGTCCTTCTGATTCCTTCTGAATTGATTGCTTGTCGCGGATGTGCAGGGATAGAGACTCCTAGCATTTCGCAGGTTTGTTTACTTTGCGATTTCAATCTGAGGCTACGTCCGTCCAAACTGGAACCGATCCAAGAGGCTCCGGACACTGCATCCCTCATTTTGGTCGGACCTTCCCTCCTTTTTTCTTGGTGAGTGTTTCGCAACCTTGGAAGCAGTCCGCCACGGGGAATTCATGCTGTCCAATGAAGACTCTGTGGTGAAATGACGAGTCCTTCACATTCAGTTAAGGTATTGGCGGTATTGAAGACAGCACTCAGTCGCAATGACAGCCAAATGCCCTGTTCTTCCGAAGTTACCCGAAATAGTGCGAATGAAATGGGACTCTTCTACAAGATGGGGCTGTCGGGGTCCGCGTGCATTGCATGTATGGGTGCTGTTCGTTACATGTCACCACTGGGTAGGGTCTGTCGTAAGAAAGATCCAAAAAACGCTGGAGATGCTTCCCAGATCTTCTCAGCATTTCGTCGCAGGTCGATTCAACAAGTTCAAAGTGGACGAAGTCCATTCCTGAGTTCGGCGGCTCGTGCAAGGCCGGGAATTCGTCTTTTCGGAGCCGCTTCCGTGGGCAGTGGCCGTGACACGAGCCGGCCACGGTAAGGAGCCGCAGGCGGCGGTGGCAAAGGCGCGTGGCGTAAAAGGAGTAAAAGGTCGACACCCCAGACTGGCTTGGCAGAAGCGAATCCTTCGAGAGCGAAAACACCCAGACTGGCTTGGCAGAAGCGAATCCTTCGAGAGCGAAAGAAACCCGACCAGGGGCCAAGACAAGACCTTGGGAAGATACATGAAGATACTGTAGTTCTGCACCATGTCCCTTCTTGATTGTCTTGCATCACTATTTCAACCCATTCCGCCTTGTGAATCAGCTTGCAGACCTAAGGCAAACGGAGACCCCGTCCTTGCAATGCTCATTTTCAAGTCTTTAAGGCCAAGATTCAAACCGAAATTTGAGCGGGAAGGTGGCTATATAATTTGTTTTGCACCAAAAGACTAAAACTTTTCTGACATACATTCAACGCAATGACTCGTTTTTGCCACAGTAAATGCTTTTCTGACAAATGTCATCAAATGTCTAAGCATTGTGAGATGTGTCTTGCAGCAGTGAGAATTTGTGCTGTTAAAGGTGAGTGTGTGTGTGTGTGTGTGTGTTGCACTCCGTCTCTAGGAGTTTTGAGCCTTTTCAACACAATCCGCAGCACGCAACAGATCATCCCTGTGTACCTGCGCTGAACACAACGACTCCACTGGTTCCCCTTCTCGCTGTTTTTTGTTTTCATTGTGGCTTCCATGATACGTTTCCCCCAAGCCACTCCCCCGCCACTTTCTGCAGCTGCACTGTCGCGAGAGATTTTGAACATTGAACAGTTTTGCAAACATTTCAAGTACTGTTGCTGACTCAGCCGCCGTGTGCGTCCCTCATTACTTTCCTTGTGGGCTCTGATACTGGATGAACCTGTGACTAAGTGTGTGTCGCTGTGCTTTCCCACCTGGGTGCGCAGTGTGATCCCCGCAAGGGGCGCCGAGACCATTGTGAATCCCACTTTGATTCAATGTTCCTCCTCACTTGGATTATGGTGTTGATTTCCAACTGTTTCACCCATGAGTCAACTGACCGCAAAGCTGCCGAGCCACGGTCCTCCATGCCGCCGGGCGTACGGTTCAAGCCGAGTTTTCGCGTTTGACTTCGACCTTCAGGCTTAAACATGTTTAACCCATTTACCTTCTGTATTTCAATTCCAATTATTGAAGGGCATCCTGCCGCGGAGTGCAGACGATTTTTGAAGCATAAAAAGACCGCTCCGTTTCCGCCAGGGCGCGCCGAAGATCGGCGTGTTGTGTGTGTGTAACCCTTGGAGTCACAGGGATCCTGATGGATTTTGTTTTTTTTTCAGCAGGGGGCCGGAGCCATCAGGAGTCTCCGGCCAACGAAGACACCCCCCACCTGGGTGTAAACCTACCTGCACCTGTGACAACACCCCACTCTTCCAACGGTGTGGTTTGTTTCCATGGTGTTGCACGATATTCCCCTAGACCTGCCTCAATTTTAGGATTTCTTGTGTACTGCAGACCTGCACGCTACATCGTCATTTGTCGCCTCGGGATCGGCTTGATCTTTTGGCCCCACTTCCGTTTGAGGGCTTGATCTGGTCAGGATTTGGGTACCCAGGTTGGCGTGTGGCAATTTCCATCAGTGTGTCCCTCCTTAGTGAGAGCCCAGGGTGTGCCCCCTGTGGACCCGTCGAACGGGGGTATGTCTTTATTTCCCTTGCTCGGAGATGTACGTGTCCAGAGCGGACAGCAGGAGGCTTAAGCCAAAGTTATTTGCCAAGACTTGCTGGATTATTGCGTTCTAAGATGGCCGCCCCCGGGCATGCCTTTAGGTGACTGTAGTGGTCAGAGCAGCCAGCCATTTTGGCAGGGCGTACGTGGCCGCAGCGGCGGAAGTCTGTTCAAGGCCCAGTGGAGCCTGTCGAGACCTTAGCCCCCCTTCCTCCCCCTACCCTCCCCCTCTTCTCTCTTTGCTTTTGGTGTATTTCTGAATGTCACACTCAGGTACACCCCTCTCCGTGGTGTGTCCCGGGACGCTTGCTCGTAGCTGGGAACACCCGTCCACTTCCTTTTCTTTCCTCCTCTTTCCTTTCTTTCCCCTTCCTTCTTGCTTCAGTGTCCCTGGATGCTTTCGTCATAGCTGGGAACCCTTTTCTTCCTTTCTTGGTGTGTCCTTGGACGCTTGTGTCGTAGCTGGGAACACCGTCGTTCTCTCCTCCTTCTCTCTTCTCTCTCCCTCTGTCGCGAGAGATTTTGAACAGTTTTGCAAACATTTCAAGTACTGTTGCCGACGCGCCGCCGTGCGTTTCCCTGATTCCTTTCCTTGTGGATTCTGATACTGGATGAACCTGTGACTAAGTGTGAAGGTTTTGGAATCACAGGGAATCCGTTGATTTGTACACTTTGAATTTAACTTTCAGCAGGGGGACTGCCTGACTTGTAACAATGGCAGTCCAACGAAGAAGCTGTTACGAGTCACTCATATGGATTCTGGATGGGCCCTCCCGTCGTAGATTATTCTAGGGTAGGGGTCACCCACAGGAATATTTTTCAGAATCACTTTTTTAGGAACATTAAAACCACCGTGTTGAAGTTGAGGTGGGCGGATGGTACCCTGGAATAATAAGGTCAGAATGGACTTTCAAGGCGTGATAAAGGAATGATGTCATAACTTCAAAAAAGCTACATCACATGCTCGCATTTGCAGCTGGCTCAAAATCTCAAAACAATCACAATCATGGGGGAACCGGAAAGGTGTCACAAGTATCCTTATGACGCCTTTCGTTCTTAAACCTTCAACCTCTCTTGCCAGAAAAGAGAGCTGTCAGATCTGTGGAATTGCGAAAAACGTGGCTCGGGCCATCTCAGGCCAAATGCTCCCAATTGCGTAGGGGTGATCACATCAAAGCCGCCCTAGACTTAAATCTGCTGTCTAGAAGCCTGCGACTACGCCAGAAGCCAGACCCAGAAACCAAACTTGGGAACTGTCAGATCAGGGCTCCTAGGTCATAGGCACCCCAGCCACATCTTTCTTGTGGACTCTGAAGCTGTGAGATGCGCAACCCAAGGTTGCCTCCTGTTGTATGTTTCTGCTCAGTAGACAGCTAATTGCTAAATCATTCCAGGGTGTATCACATCAAACCCACCCCTGGAATTATTTTAGTCAAGGAAAGAAACCACACCAAATTCGGCACTAAATCCCTGAACTGGTCTCACCAAAACTCGGGATTAGACCCCAGACCAGGGAATAAGAAACTGTCAGGTCACAGGTCCTGGGTCATAGGCGCCCTAAAACGCACCGTGGTTGTGGATTCTGAAGCTGTGAGATGATGTGAGATGCGTGGCCTGAAGCTGCAGACTTGTGGAAGCTCTAAGATTGGTGCCCCAACAAGGCAAGTTTGCCTTCTAGACAGCTAACTGTTAAACTATTCCAGGGTCGATCACATCAAACCCACCGCTGAGATTATTTTTGTCGTTGGTGGCTCTCATTGCTTGCTGTGTGGACTGAAATAGTTCCAGGGTCGGCTTGACGCGATAGATCCTGGAATATTTTAGCAGTTGGCTGTCTACTGAACAGTGGCCTACAACAGGAGGCAAACTTCCCATTTTGGGGCGCATATCTTACACAATCTACAGCTTCAGGTTGCGCATCTCACAGCTTCAGAGTCCACAAGAAAGATGTGGCTGGGGTGCCTATGACCTAGGAGTCCTGATCTGACAATTCCCAAGTTTGGTTTCTGGGTCTGGCTTCTGGCGTAGTCACAGGCTTCTAGACAGCAGATTTAAGTCTAGGGCGGCTTTGATGTGATCACCCCTACGCAATGGGCGTTTTTCACAGCTCCACAGATCTGACAGCTTTCTTTCCTCGTGAGACCAGTTTGCGGAGTCTACAACAAAGATTTGGTTGGGTCGCCTATGACCTGGCACCCCTGATCTGACAGTCCCCAAGTTTGGTTTCTGGGTCTGGCTTCTGGCGTGGGCTCACCGTCCTGGAAGTCACGTGGGGGGTTGCTGATCTGAAAAGTTCAGCCGTTTTGCCGCGTGTTGGATCATTTAATGCGACCGGAAACGAGGAGGAATCAAAACGCAGAAGATCAGTGTAGTGAAACTGACCCTGTGTTTTGGAACGGGTGTAAGATCACTTATAGACTGCAAGGCAGACATGGCTGTAAAATGCTGTAAAATCTTCCTGACCTGAAAGGTGTTCACATGTGGATTAATTTTTGGCCAGGTGTAGGTCCACCACCACTGAATACTTATTAATACAATATTCTGGGGCCCCATCCACCCCAGGGCCCCAGATGGGAGGCCCCATGATTCTGGATGCAGAATCCACGCACCTGCTTTGTGATAACTTCTCATTCACCATTGGGCCCCGTTTTAACTACAACAAACTTGCCAGCCTTTGCATCGGTTATGCACTCGACAGTCACGCGTTTGCCACCATTGATTTGTACGAGTTTCAATCTTTGGAGGTTTGAAGGCTTTGCGATGGTCCAACCGCTTTACATACTGCCTGTTTTACCAAAACAATTTGTTCACTTACGCTTCTTCAGGGCTTGGGGCGATCAGTTCTGTACACAATAGCTCGAGTGTGTGAAGGTGCTTTGATCTGACCCTAATCCAGAGCACCCATGTGTTGCCTGGATTGTGGAAAGAAATTGATGTGTCTCATTGAACGAGTTCGGAGCGTGGCACCGTGCCTCCACCATTGCAGGGAATGCCACCTCCACCGCCGCTGCCCAGCGCTGCGCGGAGCAGGTTCCCACTGATCACTGTGTGACAACCCTGCATGACGCCAAAGTGAACTGTATACAAGATGCATGCAGACACCTTCTGCGATCAGCCGGGGGTTTGCTGGCCCAGAGATGGAAGAAATATGGGTTTTATTTATACCATCACACATGCACTCGAACACATTGTTCCTGCCAGTTGTGCCTTTTAGAGAAGACAACTCTGTCAACTGATTTGATCCTATCTAATCCCCCTAGGATTGCACCGATTGCAGATTGCGCGGTTATTGGACAGTGACCCAGTCATTTATTCTGGCTTGCAGTAATCATTGAAAAGGTGATGAGATGCTGACCCGGCTCGGCTGAATCACAAATTGCAGGTCGTGCCGACCGGCCCCAAGTCTAAGCCTCACTGCCAAAGCTGGTCGGGCCGGTGACATGTGTGGAAAGCATCCAACGTCTCCAACAGATGTTGATGATGTGGATCCAAGCTTGAAGAAATGGTGCTTGAAACTACAAAAAGGACTTGACCATAGATGACCATAGTCCAAAAGGTCTTAGAATCATCCTGAAACCATGGATGGAATTGACTGGTCTCGAAGTCTCAACATTGAAAAAGCTGCAAGTCACGGAGTTTCGTGTCATCGCAAGTCACAGGCACCACTGACCGAGAACACCGACCAAACCCTTGACATCCACCGAGAACGCCTGAGGCCCCTGGGGTGCCACCGCGATTCAACAACCACCATGGAATCAAAGGCGTCCTCAAGGCCCCACGTCCTTCGTTCGGAGCGTCCCACGAGAGCGTCCAGTTCTTTGGCTCAGCCAAGGAATGAACAGTATGACAAGCGTTCTACTTGCTGTATCCATGGAAAAGCTGGAGATGCGTTTGGTGTATTCCTACAAAGCCTCCGTATTTGAGATCACGAATATGACCCGGATGACCATGCAGCTGGTCAAAGATGAACTTGGTCGCATGAATAAATTCCTCGTATTGAACAAACGCAAGACCTTGTCGTTGGAAAGCAATGCGTTTGGATAGATTATATAATTCATTGTAGCAGAACTGCAAAACTTGTTTCATTTGCATCCATAGAGTATTTTTAGTGCAGAGTGCTTCTCTCTCCAGTTCCTTTCGTGTTTTCTATGTTGCGCTTTGGCCAAATCACGAAAGCTAGCACCGGCTAGCTGGGGTTGTTCTTGCTTTAGCAAGTGAGGGGCTGGAATCCTCGAGATCGCCGCATCACGTGAAAACTTCATATGTAGAGGCCCCCCCCGCGCGGGTTCAACTCCCCCCTGAGACGCCTCTGGGACACCTCTTGGACACCTCTTGTGGCATCCACTTTGGTTCAACTCCTCCGTGGAGGTTTTGGGATACGATGCAACAGATTCAACAGATTCACAAGCTAAGGTTGGCTGTGTCATTGCTGTTCGTGTGTCTTACATGTTCACAACGTTTTTTTAACCTCATGAGCGAGACCTTGTGAACCATCCCTCCAACAGCCCCATGCCTATGAAAAAAATTTGCCTCACTCCGCTTGATGTCCCACCAGTCCTTTGTCACTGGACGGCGCTGTCTGCTTCGCCTCCACTGACACGGATGCATCCCTGCTAGCTTTTGTCACCTACCCTCGGCCTCAAGTACAGGTCAGGAGCGCCCTGTCGAGCCAGCTGATACGACGGCCGCAGACGTTGCCGCACAAGTCGCCGCCCAAAGGCTCGGACATGCGAATGAACGCACAATGACCGCGAGTTGAGAAGAAGCACCAGTTAAATTATGTTAAATTAATATGTTTAATTAAAACAAAAAACACAAGGAATATTCTATTGAGTTACTAATAGCAATGGCCTCCAACCCAAGAGCGACGGCCTCCAACCTAAGAGCGATGGCCTCCAACCTACTAGCGATGGCCTCCAATGAATGGATGCGGATGCGCATGGCTTTTCACATTGGTCGAATCTTGTCGAATCTATTTGCAAGCCATGACGAGCATCCATTGCCACTCTTCAGTGCGGATTGTTTTTCCTCTTCTGCAGGGCAGAAGCTTGGCAACCGTGGCTGGTCTCCGCGATGAAAACCAGGAGCAGCCCGATAATTTTTATCCTTGACTATGACAATGATTCTTGAGGGAGTTGGCGGGTGATTCCGTCAAACGGTTAACATTAAGAAGTGCATAGAATATTGTTAGTGCATAGAATATTGTTATCGTTGGTGTTCACATGCACTACTGGACCAGTTGTGGATTGGGATTGGATCATCGAGCCTTTGCGTTTCAATCTCGATATATCATATCTCAAATTCACAGATCTACTAGACCGGGCTTCCAAGCATGGACCATGTAGCGGTTGACTCGGGGCAGACCTGTCACGCGTCCGTGCGCGTCCGTCGGCCGTCACAGGATCGAAGAGCCCGTTCCTCCGCGGGAGCGCCGGGAGCGCAGGGCATCCGAAGAGTCCGAGGTCGGTGATCCGGTTGGGATGGAAAGAACATCGATGTCAGCATCTGGTTGATTGCGCATCCAATCAATCCTAGCAGGTGGTGATGAAAAGTCCAAGCAGTCCTAGCTTTGCTGGGGCCTTCAGTGCGAGCTGCAGTCCCAGCTTCCGCCAGAGGCCTAGGCGGTGCGCACGAAAAAGATGAAACGCATCACCCTTTTGTGATCCTAGGCGCCAATTTGCCATGTAGTGTGGGTTTCACCCAGGAATTCTGTAGCGTCCGCCATGGGGTCATGACATGAAGTGTTGCCTATCTAAGCACACTGAAACACGTCCGGAGGCCTCAGGAGGCCTCAGATGACGGAATCACTCTTGCACTCGATTTGCTGACGTCCAAAGCAAGGATCAAGAATGCGGAGTAACACAGAGACCTCCATGATGCTGGAATCGGACACTTGGCAACGATTTTGGGGAAGCAAAGCTGCAAAGCTATTGGAGTTTCGGCTAAAATTGCCACTGAAATATGAAACTCTTGTGTAGCTATCCAGCCTGCACCCCGCAGATTCCTCACTGGGCTCATTGTATTTTCCTGGTTGTTTAGAGTTCACGCAGCTATACGCAGCTATCCAAATTGTCCGGAGCTCCACATTAGGTGAAGGAACCACAGAACTGTATGAAAGGGAAGCATTGAATTGTATTGAATAAACAAAATGTTAAAATGTTGAATAAATTGCTTTGGAATTTGGAAATCGCAACTTTGGTGCCTTTTTGGTCTTGTTCAATGTCCAGATGCTAAGTGCCTGATCCCACAAGAGCTCTGCTGCATTTGAGGATGTGGTGCAAAGCCTGAAGTCCACCTTTGATAAGGTCTCCAGCACTGGTTTCGGATGATATCGCGCGTAAGTTAGTGGAATGGTCGGCTACTTTCACTTTCACTGCAAACACGATCAGAAGGAGAGAGCGACAAGGGGGAGGCAAAGTAAGATGCACCGGATCATGGAGGTCCACCTTGGGGAGCAAGATAGAACAAAGATGGAACCATGACGTATCCCATCTCCACCTGGTTTCCTTATGCTAGCTTTGCTTTGCCCAATTTGACACCGGCCATCACTTGATTTCGCCCAGGTCTTCGGAGACAAGAATGCCACAAGCCCTACCAGCCCTCCGAGCTTTGGCGTACACCCGTGTTTCTTACTGCCCCGGATGTCTGAAGGATTGATCTGATATATTTTTTGGGCGACCTAATAGCAATGGCCTCCAATCCAACCTAATAGCAATCGCCTCCAACCTAATAGCAACGGCCTCCAACCTAATAGCAATGGCCTCCAACCTAATAGCAATGGCCTGCAATCTACTAGCAATGGCCTCCAACCCAATAGCAATCGCCTCCAATCTACTAGCAATCGCCTCCAACCTAATAGCAATGGCCTCCAACCTAATAGTGATGGCCTCCAACCGAATAGCGATGGCCTGCAACCTACTAGCAATGGCCTCCAACCTAATAGCAATCGCCTCCAACCCAATAGCAACGGCCTCCAACTTAATAGCAATGGCCTCCAACCTAATAGCAATGACCTCCAACCTAATAGTGATGGCCTCCAACCTAATAGCAATGGCCTCCAACCTAAAAGCGATGGCCTGGAATCTACTAGCAATGGCCTCCAACCTATAGTATAATAGCAATCGCCTCCAATCTACTAGCAATCGCCTCCAACCTAATAGCAATGGCCTCCAACCTAATAGTGATGGCCTCCAACCGAATGGCCTGCAACCTACTAGCAATGGCCTCCAACCAAATAGCAATGGTCTCCAACCTAATAGCAATGGCCTCCAACCTAATAGTAATGGCCTCCAACCTAATAGCAATGGCCTCCATCCGAATAGTGATGGCCTCCAACCAAATAGCAATGGCCTCCAACCTAATAGTGATGGCCTGCAACCTACTAGCAATGGCCTCCAACCTATTAGCAATGGCCTGCAACCAAATAGCAATGGCCTCCAACTCCTTAGCGATGGCCTGCAACTGACCTAATAGTGGTGGCCTCCAACCTAATAGCAATGGCCTCCACAACAATAGCGATGGCCTGCAACCTACTAGCAATGGCAACCACCGTAATAGCAATGGCCTCCAACCTAATAGCAATCGCCTCCAAACTAGTAGCAATGGCCTCCAACCTAATAGGGATGGCCTCCAACCTAAAAGCAATGGCCTCCAACCTAATAGCGATGGCCTGCAACCTACTAGCAATGGCCTCCAACCTAATAGCGATGGCCTCCAACCCAATAGCGATCGCCTCCAACCAAATAGCAATCGCCTCCAACCCAATAGCAATGGCCTCCAACCTAAGAGTGATGGCCTGCAACCTAAAAGCGATGCCTGCAACCTACTAGCAATGGCCTCCAACCCAATAGAGATGGCCTCCAACCCAATAGCAACCACCTCCAACCTAATAGCAATGGTCTCCAACCTAATAGTGATGGCCTCCAACCTAATAGCAGTGGCCTCCAACCTAATAGTGATGGCCTCCAACCTAATAGCGATGGCCTCCAACCTAATAGCGATGGCCTCCAACCTACTAGCGATGGCCTGCAACCTACTAGCGATGGCCTCCAACCTAATAGTGATGGCCTCCAACCTAGTAGCAATGGCCTCCAACCAAATAGCAATCGCCTCAAACCTAATACCAATGGCCTCCAACCTAATAGCAATGGCCTCCAACCAAATAGCAATGGCATCCAACCTGATAGCAATGGCATCCAACCTAATAGTGATGGCCTCCAACCTCCAACCTACTAGCAATGGCCTGCGACCTACTAGCAAAGGCCTGCAGGCATTCAAACTAATAGCAATGGCCTCCAACCTAACAGCGATGGCCTCCAACCTAATAGCAATGGCCTCCAAGCTAATAGTGATAGCCTCCAACCTAATAGCAATGGCCTCCAACCTAATAGTGATGGCCTGCAACCTACTAGCGATGGCCTCCAACCTAATAGCAATGGCCTCCAACTCCTGAGCGATGGCCTGCAACCTACTAGCAATGGCATCTAACCCAATAGCAATCGCCTCCAACCTACTAGCAATGGCCTCCAACCTAATAGCAATGCGCTCCAACCGAATAGCAATGGCCTCCAACCTAATAGTGATGGCCTCCAACCTATTCGCAATCGCCTCCAACCTAATAGCGATGGCCTCCAACCTAAGAGCGAAGGTTTGCAACCTAATAGCAATGGCCTCCAACCTAATAGTGATGGCCTGCAACCTACTGCGTAGCAATGGCCTCCAACCTAATAGCAATCGCCTCCAACCTAATAGCAATGGCCTCCAACCTACTAGCAATGGCCTCCAACCTAATAGCAATGGCCTCCAACTCCTTAGCGATGGTCTTCAACCTAATAGTGATGGCCTCCAACCTAATCTCAATGGCCTCCAACCTAAAAGCGATGGCCTGCAACCTACTGCGTAGCAATGGCCTCCAACCTAATAGCAATCGCCTCCAACCTAATAGCAATGGCCTCCAACCTAATAGCAATCGCCTCCAACCTAATAGCAATGGCCTCCAACCTAATAGCGATAGCCTCCAACCTAATAGCGATGGTCTGCAACCTACTAGCAACGGCCTCCAACCTAGTAGTGATGGCCTCCAACCTAATAGCAATGGCCTCCAACCTATTCGCAATCGCCTCCAACCTAATAGCGATGGTCTCCAACCTAATAGCAATGGCCTCCAACCTAAGAGTGATGGCCTGCAACCTACTACGTAGCAATGGCCTCCAACCTAATAGCAATCGCCTCCAACCTAATAG